ATAGTTAGTTGGTTAGTTAGTTAGTTGTAGATGGACACAATACCTTTATTTGGTTTAGTTTTTTAATGTGGTGCTGGGGATCAAACCCAGTGCCTCACGCATGCTAGGCAAGTGCTCTACCACTGAGCCACAACCCCAGCCCCAGTTAAGTTGCTTTTTAAGAGTGAAAGCATGTGGGGGTCAGCACAGTGGGTCCATTTTATAGAATGAACTCCATATTCCCACAGCTCATGCCTCTCTGTCTCTTTTCTTCTCGATGTGCTAGAATCTAAGAAAAGTCCTAATTAAATGGTAGGGATTTGCAAAGATTATAGGGAGCAGCTGTAAGGGAACCCTACTAGAAAAAGTTGGCATAGTTTTGCATCAAACTGAAGTGGCACCCCCTTTCTCCACAGAAAAGCCTTAACTGGGCTTCCCTAGAAATCTTTACCCAGACTGTTTTTAGGACTGTCAGCAAAAGGGTCTCTGCAAAAGAGTCCAATGTAGATAAACTTCCTATTTTTGTGTTGCCCTGTTTACTTGGCTACTGGCCGGGAAGATACCAGCACTCCAGGTGCTGGACACCCCGTTACTAGTTTTTCACAAACATATCCAGTGTAGTACTTTGTAGAAATGTGCAAACAAGGCCTCTGGCCTTGAGCTGGGCTTCACAGAGATGTCTACATTTTTAAGATAAGTTACTAGTTGGGCTCCATGGTAACAGCTGGCAGAGGGAAGAAAGAAAGGGGAGAAGAAGCTCTCCCCTCCTCAGGTGTTGTCCTTGAAGACTTAACTTGCCCAGAACACTGGAAGAAAAAGCTGCTTTTATGTGAACTTCTGCAGACTGTGAACTTCTGAGCCCCTCCCCTCACATGCTGAGTATAAAACTCTGAAACTACCTGAACTCAGGGTTCAGGGGATTGATTGATTACAGCAAAAGCTGTGCCCTCTAAACCTGGCTGCAGCCAAATAAAACTGTTTCCTGCTGTCTTAGGTGCCTTGCCTCATTTGTCCCTACAACAAAACTAAATGAGACTGATGGATTATGACCCATGGAATAGAATAATAATTTATGAGTCCATACTGACAATGAGATTGTTTTCTATGAAATCCCCAGAGCTAACTGATGCAAACTCCACCACCCCCCATCCCTTTTCCTGGTGCTGGGGATCAAACCCAGGGTCTTGTGCATGCTAGGCAAGCACTTTACCACTGAGCTCTACCCCCAGCCCTCCATACTGAAAACGAATGAATAAATGAGAAGGAAAGGGCTTTCTTACAGTAGAATCTCAGATAATTAATGTAGAAAGAAAAATGGAGTTAGAGAATTTTTTTTCCCCAATCATCTTAGTAACAACTGATTCAGTTCAAAATCAACTATTGCTAAAAACTAAAGGGTGAGGTTTTGAAGAACAGGCTATCTACTTTGGTCTCATAGTATCTCTGCGTTAATTATAGTTAAAGCTTTTTTATATGAAGCTTTGCTTCACAGTGCGAAAGCTTGGCAGACACCTCCTTCCACAAGAGACTAAAGTTATTGTCCTAAACGGACACACCTGTGTGAGCATCCTGATAGACGACACCAAGAAGGAGAGGAGATCACTGCTGGGGTGTTACTGCCCAAACACACAAGCCACCTAAACATGAGGCAAACCCAAGGATGTCAAGGTCATGGGGGGGTGGGGAAGGAGGAGGCTGAAGAAGTGTTCCGGATTAAAGAAATTTAAGAGAAATGAAAATAAAATGCAAGGCATGATCCTGGATTGGATCTCAGACCAGGTAGAAAAAAAAAAAAAGAAAAAAGAAAAGCTGAAAATGATATGGGTAGGTTAAGTGATAAAATTTGATCAGGGACTGTGATTGATCTCATAGTGTTAATTAATGTCAGCTTTTCTGATTTGGATCATTATGTCTTAGAAATCTTAAAAAAAAACACATTGATATTAAAAATATAGTCTGGCTGGGCATGGTGATGCACACCTATAATCTCAGAGGTTTAGTAGGCTGAGGCAGGAGGATCTCGAGTTCAAAGCCAGCCTCAGCAATGGCGAGGTGCTAAGTAACTCAGTGAGACCCTGAGTTCAGTCCCCAGTACCCCCCCAAAATATATATATAGTCTGCAATCTTTTTTTATACATTTTTTGTAGTTGTAGATGGATACAATACCTTTATATTATTTATTTATCTTTATGTGGTGCTGATTATCAAACCCAGGGCTCACACGTGCTGGGCAAGCACTCTACCACTGAGCTACAACCCCAGCCCTATAGTCTGCAATCTTTGAGGGTAAAGGAGTATGATATGTACAATTTAGTTAAATGGTTTAGGAGTTAAATGTGTGTGTGTAAGGGTGTATGTTATACATATAAATATATCCAATATACATAGAGAGATTTGTTTGTTTTTCTGAACTGGGGATTGAACCCAGGGGCACTTTGCCACTAAGCTACATCCCTAGCTCTTTTTATTTTTTTTATTGTGAGACAGGGTCTTGTTAAATTGCTGAAGCTGGCCTTGAACTTTCCATCCTCCTGCTCAGTCTCCCAAGTTACTGGATTCCAGGCATGCACCAAACTAGAGGGACCATTAAAGACAGCATAATGATAATAGTCAGTAAAAGGTTTATGTTCTTGCAACTTTTCTGTAAGTTTGAAACATTGTATATCAAAATGAAATGCCACCTCCCACAGGCACACAGACAGTAGCTAATATACAGATCAAAGGAACCACTAAGTATCCAGGTAAATGAAGGAAAAAACCCACAGAGGCCCATGTGGCAGTTGGTCACTTCCCCAGCAAACACTCCTTCCTTGCTACTGGGCTCTGATTTTTAGCATTGTTAGATTTTTTAAAACTGGAACATGCAACACTTTCATTTAAAAAATAAAAATTTTAAAAGAGTGCCCCCTGAAAAAGAAAAAAAAAGTATTATGAAGGAATGCCTGAATGGGGAGTGGGGGATGGATGAATAGACAGGAGGTGAGCGAGGGAATTAGCAGGCCCACCCATCCAGACAGGCCTTCATCTGCAGTTCCTTTGCACCTCTGGGCCCTGCCCATTCAGGTGCCCTTTTTATGGCTCCCCACACCCTGGCAGCCGGGTTAGCCAAAGTACATTTTCTTCCCCATTCTCAGATCCCTCTACTTCCTCCTCCCACAGCCCCCACCTTCCTCCATTCCTGGCAGGAAGAAACCAGCGCCCGGCTGGGGAGGTCAGCTTGTGCGTGGCTGGCCACGTGACTCTCAGCATTTCACTTTGCAAGGCCTCAGTTTCCCCAGTTGCTTCTTAAGCAGGTTGGCCAAATTGAGCCTTAGCTGCATCTTACCATCAGTTGGGGAGCTTTAAAAATTCCAAGACCCACAAGGCAACCCAGACCAACTAACTCAAAACTCCTTGTAGAGTGGCAGAGTGGACAGTCACAGCTGGGGTATTTTAATTTTTGTTGTATTTTTGTACTGGAGATTAAACCCAGGATGCTTAGCCACTGAGCCCAGCCCCAGATGAAGATTAATCCTTCATCTTTTTTTTTTTTTCTTTTGGAGACAGGTAAATTGGTTAAGGGTAAGTTGCTGAGGCTAACTTTGAACTTGTGATCCTCCTGCCTCAGCCTCTCAAGCCACTAATAGTTATTCTTTGTTTTTTCCTTTCCTTTTGTTTTGTTTGTGGCGCTGGGGATTTAACCCAGGGGTGCTCTACCACTAAGCTATTTTTATTTTTGAGATAAAATTTTTGAGACAGGATCTTGCTAAATTTCCCAAGCTGGGCTAGAAATTGAGATCCTCCTTCCTCAGCCTCCCAAGTCCCTGGGATTAGAGTCATGCACCTCCAGGCCTGCCTCCCTCCAGCTTTTTCTTTAAAAGAAAAAAAAAAATTAGTTGTAGTTGGACACAATATCTTTATTTTATTTATTTTTATGTGGTGCTGAGGATCGAACCCAGGGCCTTGCACGTGCCAGGCAAGTGCTCTACCACTGAGCCACAACTCCAGCCACAGCTCTTTTTCTTTTTTAGTTGTAGATGAACACAATACCTTTTATTTATTTGTTTGTTTGTTTGTTTGTTTATTTATGTGGTGCCAGAGATCTAACTCAGTGATGCCTCACGCATGCTAGGCAAGTGCTCTATCACTGAGCCACAACCTGGACCCCCCTCCAGCTTTTTGATGCTGAAGCCCACTGGCTGTCTCATCGATTTGACCATCCTCTGTCTCAGGAGGGTTAAATGAAGTGGGTCACCCAGACACAAGGTTCCCATTGCTACGATGCCTCCTGTCTTCATCTGGCCTTTGAGACAGGACTTTGTGCTGCCCCACCCACCCATCACGGAACCTCCTGCTCCAGCCTGCCTTTTCCACTTCAATGCTTAGAATCAAGGGATCCAGGATCATCCACAAGGCTGTCTGCCCAGGTATGAATTGGGAGCTTCCTACTTCTTTCTTGTCATGCACAGCTGCTGAGGAAGGGGCTGAGAGAAAAGGAAGAGACAACAGGGGAGGAGGCAGAATCTGTTCAATCCAGAAACTAAGTATTGGATTTATTTTTTACCCTTAATGTAGTAGCTTCTAACTTTTTCCCCAAGGTGGGCTAGACTCCAGGCTAGGGTTTGGCTGGGTGCCTGGCTGTGCCCCTCAGGTCTCCCCTCTGAAGGGTGCCATTCCTTTACATAAGTACATTGGCCTGGTCTGCACCATTCCCAGTGGACAGTCTGGGGAAGGAGTGAGGAGCCTTGAACTTCAGTCTCTTTCTTCATTTGCATCACCCAGTGCAAATCATACAACACACCCAAGTCTCAGTTTGCTGAGCCGTAAAATAAAAATGACCTTGCCCCATCTTATGGGGCTAATGACAAGAACATACTGTTTTTATTGTAGGCAGATGTGCTGAGGCTTTAGAAAGCACTTTTTTATTTGGTTGAAAGTTTGTGCATAAAGGTAAGAGGGGCTGCTGATCTGTGGACCACAGAGGTGACCCATGGCTGAGGCGGAACTGGATATCGGAGAGAAGTCAGCAGGTGAGTCTGGAGTTCTGCTTCCATCCCAGCCCTCAATGAACATGTGGAGGGGAGTGGGGAAGTCTGGTCCAGAGTGATCCTGTGCCCAGCAGGGCCCATGACCTCTCGCACTCTGACAGTCTGTCAGAGTGGAGCAATTGGACCGAATGTCCCTTCTGGGGGATGCAGGTAGCAACAGCTATGACAAATACTGGTAGCAGCCAGCAATTCCTGGTGCTCACTTGTGCAGGAGTGCCCACCTTTTGTGGACTTCCTCCTTGCATTCTTACTGTGAGCCAGAGATGATGAACCTCATTTTCAGATCAGAAAACTGAGGCTCGGGCTGGGGATGTGGCTCAAGCAGTAGCGCACTCACCTGGCATGCATGCGGCCCGGGTTCGATCCTCAGCACCACATACAAACAAAGATGTTGTGTCCGCCGAAAACTAAAAAAGAAATATTAAAATTCTCTCTCTCTCTCTCCCTCTCTCTTTTTTAAAAAAAATTAAATTAAAAAAAAGGAAACAGGCTCAAAGAGGTTATATAAACTTGTCTATGCTGTCACTGCTACTAAGTAGCTGAGGAAGAACTCAGACCCAAATCTCTCTGACTTCAAAAAGTGCTCTTGGATCTCTGTGAGAGCCTACTTATCCATAGGTGATCTGATGTGCTAATTGGACCCCCCAAACACTTTTATTTTGGGTCCTGGAGACTGAACACAGGAAGCTTTACCATTGAGCTACATCTCTAGCCCCCATTTTTATTTTTTGAGACAGTGTCTCATTAAGTTGCTTAGGTCCTCGCTAAATTGCTGAGACTGGCCTCAAACTTGTGATCATCCTGCCTCAGCCTCTCAAGCCGCTGGGATGACAGGCTTACCCCAATGCACCCAGCAGACAATGAGATATTTTTAAGCATGGTGGACTAGGGTGGAAAGTTCTTGCATCATGTGTCGGGTAAGTTGAAGTGACAGGAAGGTATCTTTCCTGTCTTGGACTGGTGCCTGAGTCACTGCCTGGGAAAGGGGTCTCAATGTGTGCCGAGCCACCTCCATGGCTCAGGGTGGAAGGGCAAGGACTAGACTGTGCAGAGCCCCATGTACTGGGAGAGGGACTTTATTGCTGTGCAAAGAAAGGCTAATAAGCCAGGAACGATGCATCTTTGCTGGAGGGGCTTTTGGCACAGTGGCACAAGGGTTGCATTCAGAAAGGCCCAGGATTGGAATGTCATGTTCTTGTCATTGACTTGAATTTTTTTCTAATTTTAGCTTTGAATTTGTATTTTAAAAAGTGGAATCAGGTAGAACAATGGAGCATGGAGGCATTGTGGCCTTCACACCTAGGCCAGCCCCAGCTGTAACCATCTGCCAGAGTCCCTCATCTGCTGTCATCTGCATCCTTGATGGGGCTCAGACATAAGAAGGATCAGGAGTCAAGGAAGGGGCAGGCAGCACCATGGCATGCTGCAAGGGTGGCCGCAGGAAGAGCTGGCCTCTCAGCTCCCCCACCAGGCAGCCAGGATGTCCAGGGGGTGAGGCTACAGTCCCTCGCAGGTCAACCATCTGTGGAAAGGGGAGACTGCCTTCCTCACTTTTCTTTTGTAACTGGCTCCACAGATAAAGTAGCCAGGCCCAGCTGTACACAGGTCTTGCCATTTACTAACTTGGAGCAAGATCTTCACCTTTTAGCCCCAATGTTTTAGTCTGAAATGGAAATTATGTCTAATCTTCACAGGATTCTTTTGAGAGCAGTGAGTGTCCCCTTCCTCTCTGCCACAACCTAAATGCAAGTCTGATTATGGCAATTCCTGCTGAAAATTGAGAAGAGACCAAAACCTTTCACTAGAAAGGTATGTTGCTGGGCAACATATCTACAATTCAAGCCAAGTTTGCTTTTAAAGTTCTCTAGGAGCCACATTTTATAAAGTAGAAACAAATGGAAGTAATTTTGATAATATGCTTTATTTCAGTGGGGCTGGGGTTGTGGCTCAGCGGTAGAGTGCTCACCTACTTCATGCAAGGCCCTGGGTTCGATCCTCAGCATCACATTAAAATAAACAAAAATAGGGGCCGGGGATGTGGCTCAAGCGGTAGCGCGCTCGCCTGGCATGCTTGCGGCCCGGGTTCGATCCTTAGCACCACATACAAACAAAGATGTTGTGTCTGCCGAAAACTAAAAAATAAATACTTTAAAATAAATAAATAATAAAATAAAATAAACAAAAATAAAGATATTGTGTCCAACTAAAAAAAAATTTTAATGCTTTATTTCATACAATATATCCAAACCATCATTTCAATATGTAATCAGTAGCAAAAATGAACGAAAAAATTTTTTCCACATTGTCTTCAAAATCCAGTGTGTATCTAATTTCAAGTGACAAGTGGCTACTTAACTGGATAGCACAAGGCTAAATCCCATAATCAAGCTGCTACCGCCTCTCTGCCCTGCAGCCACATTGGGGCTGTTTTCCTCTCCCACAGGGCCCGGAAGCTCCTCCCATCCTCTGCCCTTTGGAACTGGTTAGAACTCTTCACCCTCTACATGGAAGTCGGTGGCCCCACCTTCAGGGAAACCTTTCTTGACCCCTTATATACTTCCACAGTACTGCGGGGCTCACCTTCAGCACACCACACCAGGTGTGTGTGTACTTCCCCACATTATACACCAGGTGCCCTCATGATTTCCCCTTTAAGAATGTGTTTCTGCTGCCAGCCTATAAACTCTAGAATAGAGATCTCTTGGAGTTGTTTCTTAATCATTTCCCCAAGGGCTTGGCCTGGTGTCCAGTATAGGTCAGGCTTTCTGAGTCCGATGGATAGGAGAGAAAGAAAGAAGTATGTGAAAGGACTGACTCATGCAAAGCACTATGCAAATACTTCTCTTCCCTCTGGGTAAAAACGTTTCTCCTTATTAAGCGACCTTTTTTAGCTGTGTAACTCTGCTAGCGATCTAAACATAAAACACTCAGGGTTGAAAATATTTAAGTGGAATCCTAAGCACACACATTATAAATATTTCTTCCCCACATTATACACCATTAAAAATACCGTCCCAGCTCCCTTTCATGATCTGGGTGGTGATTAAGGAAAATTACTGTTCAAGATTGGAAGTAATTACTGCCCTTTTCCTGACCTGGCTTTCCGCCTAAGAAGGGGAGGATAGGCTGCAAGGCAGGACTGGAGAGCATCATTGTCCCTCATCTGACCCGCAGATCTGGCCACCAGCCACATACTGAGGTGCTGCTGCTTCTCAACTTTTCCTTCTTTTAATTCTCTTCCAGGTGAACATAAGCAAGAAGGCACCAGTCCACACTCGACAACTGCCCCAAGTGTTAATGCCAAACCTGACAACACCTGCCTAGGTGAGGACTCAAGCTCTCCACCATGTTGCAAAGTCAAATTCACCAGGTGTCTTACAGTGCACTGTTAGGCCACATAATTCTTCGCAGGACAGTAGATTGAAGACTTACACTTAGTACCACTATTCCAAAAGAGGGCAGACTCCTCCTCTCAGGGGGTGAAGTAGGAATCACAAAATTTGTACTCTGCTCAGTGAGACATGTCCCTGAAGTTTTCCAAATAACCAGGGTAAAAACAACTGCTATGCATTGCCCAGGGGTGAGGGATATAAATACCCACTGCATATTTTAAGTCCTTGGCTGTGAGCTGGAGGTGTAGCTCAATGAACAGTGCCCACATGTGTGAGGCCCTGGGTTTGATCCCTAGCCCTGAAACAAAATTGATACCTAAATTGTTGGCTGCTTTCAAACTGTAAGCTTTCTGTTTTTGCAATACATCCTGAAGTTTGCTCAGCATGCAAGAAAAAAAAAATTCAGCTTATGAATGAGAAACATTTAGTCTATGGAAGCTCCATATCTACTTATTATTCAGTACTTAGGATCATCTATGCTGTAGTAAATGATAATGTCCAAAGTCTCTAAAATGCGTATTTTTAAATTTTAATTTATGGGCGATCTAGAGTTGGTGCTTAAAGTAAGAATTCAGAGCCCCAAAGAAAATGACTTCATTGAAATTGAACTGCACAGACAAGAGCTGAGTTATCAAAACCTACTAAAAGTGAGTTGCTGTGAACTGGGGATTAACCCAGAGCAAGTGGAGAAGATCAGAAAGCTACCTAACACTCTGCTCAGAAAGGTAAGGTTTACAAGTTTCTAAACGAGGTGGGAATGTTCTGTGAGTCAACTGTTCCATTTCTAATATGAAAATGAAATTAAAGATATTAGAAATTCAGCCTATAGAATGATCAAGCAAGGTAGCAGATAACATTGAATAACTACTAATTCATGACCTCTTTAAAAACCTCTAAATGACAAGTGATTTCCCAACTTAGGAGTTGCAGTTCAGTATTTTTGGCACTGCAATCTCTGCACATCTGCCTGGCTGAAAAAAGGTGGCGTAGTCCTCAGGACAGAAAACACAAGCCCACTCTTTGTTTAGCAAAGGTCTGCCTCTGTAATTGCAGAAAACCAAATTCATTTATTTTCCAGATTGAAAATGCAGACCTCTGGGCTGGGGTTGTAATTCAGTGGTAGACCACTTACCTAGCACATGTGAGACACTGAGTTAGATTCTCAGCTCTGCATAGAAATAAAGGTCCACTGACCAAAAAAAAAAAAAAAAAAAAAAAAAAATTGTGAAAAAATAAAAAAGAAAATGCAGATCTCAAATTTTAATTTCAGAAGGAACAACTTTTCTCTTTTGGCAGTATTGGGGATAAAATCCAGTGCCTCACACATGCTAGGCAAGTGTTGTTACATCCCCAGGTCAGAAAATTTCATTTCTTCAGATAGTATTTTTTCAAAGTGCCTTGGCAATTTTTATTGGTGTCTCAGCTATGGCATATTCTTGGCAGTTAGCTTTAAAACATGTTTGCTCTGCCCATTGTCTTCAGCAGCATCAAGTGGGACAATCATCCCCTTAGAAACCTCCAATAGGAGCCGGTGCAGTGCTGCATGCCTGCAATCCAACCACAACTACTCAGGAGGCTGAGGCAGAAGGATTCCGAGTTGCAGGCCAGTCTGAGCAATTTAGCAAGACTTTGCCTCAAAAAATAGAAAAATAAAGGGCTGGGGATGAGGGATATGGATGAATACCTTTGGGTTCAACCCCCTGTGCAGAAGGAAAACACCACCACCACCACCACCAACAACAACAACAACAACAACAAAAACCGCAACTCTCAAGTGCTAATGGTTTACATAAAGACAAAACAATGAGAAACAGAAATAAATAAGATGACATGACTTCATCGAGTATTTATAAACCATTACATAATTTCTTTTCCACATTTAGGACAAAGACATTCGAAGACTACAGGACTTTGAGGAAATAGAACTCCTTTTAATGAAAAATGGAAGCTCTGAATGGATACAGTACACACCATCTCTAACAGAAAAGTCCTGCTACAATAGTAATGCTGCAAAAATGACTTATTAACCCCTCAAATTAAACAGGAATCATTATTTTATAATAATGCTGGATACATATGAAGTTTGACTTCATGATCTCCAAATTCTGAGCTGGGAGAAAAGTAAATTCAAAAGGGCTTTGACGGTAATCTCAGTTTCTTGGGAGGCTACAGTAAGGCACAAAGAATAAATTGGAGGCCAACCTGGACAACTTAAATACATCCTGTCTCAAAATAAAGAGGGCTGGGGATGTGGCCTTTGACAAACACAGCTATCACATCCACACCAAAGCAAATTATTTTGTAGTGTTGCACCCCAATCAGAATTAGGAATCAATATGCTTTGCTGAGATTCAGCCAGAGCAAATGACAGGGGTATCCTTCATGTGAACCCCATTAATGGCAGAGCAACAATACCTATTTTTAAAAACACTTGACTTTCTTTTTGTGTGATACTAGGGATCCAATGCAGAGCTTTGTGTATGCTAGGCAAGTGCTGTTACCAATGAGCTACATCCCCAGTCCTATCTGCATACTTTTAAACTTACCCATAAAATGGCATGATTTATATAACCCAAGTTAACTACCTTTAAGACTTTTTAAAAGAAAACTTACAGAATAGTCAAGCATAGCCCAAATCACTGAATTCAGTCAAGTGAGGAGATAGCACAGCTGTTAACCTAACATCTATTCCCAAGGTCAGTTGTCATCAAATATATGCTAAGTTCCTCCCTACACTGCCTAGAATCTGAGTCAGCTCTTCTAGGTGACTTCTAGTACAACTACTTGTATTTTGTTAAGCACTCATTAGCTGCTCGCTTACCCACTTTTTCTCACACACACTACACTACCGCTTCTTTACATATCCATAACTTCTACAGACTATGATGTCATCTCTGATCATTATAGAAGAGGTATACATAAATAGCAAAGCTCCCTGTGGGCAAATTCAATGCTTTAATTTTATCTTCAGCATATGAAACTGGTCACTGTTTCTTTTTTACTTCTCACAAAAGCTCAGTGCTGATCAAGAGTGAGGAAAAGACATAAAAGCATTATGCAAACACTTCTACCCAACTGTTCAAGAGGAAATGGTTAATGGTATAGGCCTGGGAATCCCATCGCACCATTTCATTCATGGAACGTAACAATGTTAATGCAATTCAACTGGCATGCTACATCAATGAATGTAACTAAGCACCTATGCCACATATTCTTTATTTTACTTTTGAGATAGGATCTTGCTAAATTTCCCAGGCTGGTTTCAAATTTGCCCCCCACTCCTGGGTCACTGGGATTATAGGTGTGCACCACCATGCCAATCTTATGCATGTTTTAAAAAACATAGAAATGAAAAAAAGAAAAAAGATAGTAATGACCTACCTTGGGTGTTGTGGCACACCTATAATCCTAGATGCTCCAGAGGCAGGAGGATTGCTAGTTTGAGACAAGCCTCAGGAATTTAGTGACACCTAAAGGCTTAGGGAGACCCTGTCTTGAAATAAAACAAACAAATAAAGGGCAGAAAATGTTTCTCGTTGGTTCAATCCCTGGTACCAAAAAAAAAAAAAAAAAAAGCATGACCTATAACACAAACCAACTTGAATGCCCAGTGTTCCAATGCCAAGAGATTGTGGTGGTGACAGGACAATCCCCAAATGACACCTTCCTAAAGTATTTTCAATTTTACTTTGAGGAAAATTTAGGCAGGGGCCCATGGGTTGAAAAACAGCCTGAATTCATCATTTGTGGAAATACAAGATTTTTAGATTGTTTTTAAATGCATCTGATAAGCCTATTACTTGAAACAAAATCACTGTCAGGATGAAAGCTTCTACTACTCTAATATGCAGAACTTACACAGGTGCCTCCTATGATCCACGAGAGAATCCATTTAATCACAAGGTTCTGAGCAAACTCAAAACCCAAATTAATAAACAGTCTACATCCCAAAAGGGAGGGAAAGAACCACACAGCAAAATATAGTTTCAAGTATAAGTTAACAGTAGTTTTTTACCTAAGTCATTGATTGTAAAATTGTATACAAGGTACAATTTCACTTTATGACTTTTAAATTGTTTTACTAGGGTAGGGAGCTACATCTGTTTTACTATATATGGCACTTGGAAGGATGTTGAGACCTCACTCCATGTTTCCTCTGTGGCTATGCTCGGTGAAGCATGCTTGCAATTCTAGTGACTCAGGAAGCCAAGGCCAGAGATCTTAAGTTCAAAAGCAGCCTCAAACGTGGATGTGTAACCGAGGTGATTCTGCAATCCGTATACGGGGTAAAAATGGGAGTTCATAACCCACTTGAATCAAATATATATCAAGAGCTTTGTAATGTTTTTTAACAATTTTTTTAAAAAAAGCAGCCTCAGTAACTTAGCGAAGCCCTAAGCAACTCTAAATAAAATGTAAAAATGGGTGGGGGACGTTAACTCCGTGGTTAAGTACTTCTGGGTTCAATTCCCAATACCCCCCCCCCCCCGCAAAAAAAAAAGGTCTCATCTGGAGAGCAGGACTGGGGGGGGGGGAAGAAGGCAACTAGTAACTGATGATAGAGGCCTTATGTGAACCTAATGCATCTGCAGGTGCTTTTCAAGTTTCAATCACTTTTTTCCTTTTAAAGAGAAACAGCTATATTAACTATTTCTTATACCCCTACTAAAATCAGAGCAAGTACCAGAGATTAACTCTGGTACAAAGGGGAAGGAGTAGGGCGTGGCTCAGCAGATTCCCCCTCTGGACTGGCTTATGTCTGAGAGAAAAGCTTCCCTTCGAACTAGCATAAACAGAAAAGATCCACTCCGGGGTTAGCACCAAAACTAAAACTGTTTTAAAGATTAAAGGGGGGTAAGAAGATACCACAAAGAAACATAACTAGGTCTTGTTTCTAGCTTTTAGTAACTATGACTATGCCTCTGAATTTGGCAGTCCAGAAACAGTACCTTTTAATCTGCCAGGCATTTAAGGATTAATTCTATGAAGTACACTATGTTTACATGTTATCAGTTACTACCTATACCAAGACCTTTCCCACACTTTTTAAATTTAAATTTTATTAAGAAATATCATACATACAAAAGCAAAGCACATAAACATAATTTTAAAAAGAAAATGCTCATCCAGCTTCAGAGTCTGAAGACCCTTTTGCCTTCCATGATCACATTTCCTTCCAAACTTCCAAAGCACCAGCTGACATTGAATTGTGTCAATCATTTCCTTTTCTTTCATTTACCATGTATATAACAGCCTGTTTTTAACCAGCACAGTAATGGAACCACAGTGGATAAATCCTTCTGTAACTTGCTCTTTTGACCATTATTATACTGTTGAGTCATCCAGGTTCACACGTGGAGCTGTAGTTCAGTTTCACTTCTATGGAATTCCATGGTAGGAATGCATCACACTATATATCCAACAAAGGTGTCGACTTGGGGTCTTCCCAGCATTTTTTTTCCTTTTCTTCCTGTTACAAATGCTGCCATTATGACAATTTTATATCCATCTCCTGGCACATATATAAGAGTTTCTCAAGGGTATGTACCTATGGATGAGTTATGGCATACCCAGTTATGACAAACCATTTCTGAAGTTGTTGTTCCTAAATGTTCTTACATCTATTGACAACTGATCTACATGGGATGGCTGAGGTTAAGAAACACATTATCTATGAAACTCTCAAAGTGCATTTTTAAAACAGAAAATTAAAAATTCTGATACAACAATGAAAAATACATTTACTTCTCTGCTTTGGCTTCCTTGAAATATATTTTTAAAAGCCAAATGTTCAACTTAAAAGTGCTGTCTTCTATGTCTCAAAATAAATGCTTCTAAATAGGCTAGTGAAGATAGATTCAGAACATATGGGTAAACATATATAAAAAGACATCTAAACGTATTTTGCTCAAATCCCTCACTCCTATTCAAAAGGGGGAAAAAAAGTATGGTGGTAACAAAAGTGTTCCTACAAGAACAGAGGAACAGAAGGAAATCATACATCACCAAACAATTCTGTTGTTTTTAAATCACCTGCAAGCATTTCAATTGTAATACAAAATTTTATATATATATATATATATATATATATAAAGAAGTTGTCATTTGGGGTCCTTTCACTAACAACTAAAAATTAATCAGAAATGCAAACTTTGAAAATCAACCCTGAATGAAGTCCCATGCCACAGAATGCATATACAACTTCAAATGTTTTGTTTCATGCATATAACAGAAAACATACATAGCAGTGGGGCTGGGGACATAGCTCAGTCAGTCAGTGGTAGTGTTTTTCTAATATGCATGAGGCCATGAGTTCAATCCCTAACACCAAAAAATAAAATAACATTGATCATACATAGCTCATCTACAATCCATTTTAAAAAACAGAATGAAGTTGAGCTCTAAATACTTCCACTAGGTGTGGTGGAGCTTGCCCATAATCCCAGTGACTAGGGGGTTGAGGCAGGAGGATCACAAATTCAATGCCAGCTGCAGCAGCTTAAGGAGACCATGTCTCAAAATAAAAAATAAAAATTGTATATGACTCAGTGGTTAAGAGCCCCTGGTCAATCCCTGGTACCAAAAGAAAGGGAAACAAACCCAACTTCCAAATGAATTTTTTAGTTTTTATATTTCTAAAATCTTTAATCAGAGTTCAGAGCTCAAAACATATGTGATTCAGTGTTCTTAGACCCTGGAGAGATACGGTTGGTTGTCTTCTGAACCTATTTAAGGAACCAGAATGCCTACTCTAAGGCTAGGAGATAAACATCTAAACTGAATAACATGACTAGGTTATTAACAACTTAAATAAAAAATGCAAGAAAGGTGTTTTCAGACCAAACATAAATGGACCTTTATCTTTTTGAAAAACAAAATAAAAAAAAACATTTTAACAAAAATGGTCTTCATGGATTCTGTCTCTATATTACAGAGAAGGAAAGCTTGACCAGCAGATTCCATTACATGGCCCTCTGGAGGGGAGCAAAACAAATGACTCTACTAAACCATTACTATAGTTTGATAGCTTCAGCTAATAAAAGCTTATTCAATTTGATATTAATGAACTATATGTTTAAGAGTTTCTTTTATACATACATGCTGAATTATTTACAGATTAAATGGAATAAGAGTTTTTTTTTTTTTTTGAAAATGAGAGGACAGGATACATACACAAAAACACTGGCCAATGAGTCTTAATAGTCATCAGTTGACAGTGATTAATTATACTGTTCAACTTAATTATACTGTTCAACTTCTGTGTCTTAAAATTTCCAAAATATCAACCACTGTTCTAATTTCAGTTCTTATTAAGTCATCTTCTTGATTAAAATCAGCTTTCCAAAGAGAACAGACACAGAACCATTAGCCAGCTGGTAACTTTTTGGTCAGCACAGCAAAAATGCGTACAGAAAAATTAGCCCTTGGCATCTATACTAGATGTGATTTTGGTTAGCAAAAATCAGTCCCTCTGTAGTCAGATCAACCTGGGGTATAAAGTATAAAAGCCAGCTTTTCTATCTCCTTAAGTCACGAACACCTTAAGTGGCTAGGTCTCTCCCTAAAATCCTAGGGTAGCTTCAAAAGTGTCCCCAGAGTAAGCTTTTCACAGGACCACTTATTTCACTTCT